GAAGGGAGGGCTAGGAATGGGGAAAAAATGAGAGCCAAGATGCATTATGTAAAGGTACAATTCCTAATGAGAAATGTAATTGTGTTGTACCAATGTACCAAACAAAGAATTTAACAAAAAAAAATAAGGGGGAAATCTAATAATGTTCAATGTGTATGTGCTTTGAAAAGGCAGAGGAAAGCCTTTTGCTTTAAATATGTGTCTGATATTAGAAACCATTTTTAAAATTTTCTTTTACTTCAACTGTAAAATGGGCCCTGTTTTTTTCAGTTAGTTAAAGGGTATATATTCTAGAAGAGTTTCTGAAAGTCATATTTCAGACAGAAAATACTACATTTCAGATAATTATTCATATCTCATTGGTCAGAATTTAGGTATACATACAGTGATACCTTACTGTTAGGCTGGGAAAGGTATCCCTCTTTTTTGTGACCTAATTGGGTTACAACAAACAGCTTTTGCCACAGAGCTGATCTCAACAATTAACATTATTAAGTGATTTCATTGAGGTCAATTATGATACAATACATATAGGGAAGTACTTAGGGTTTTTGGTGTTCTATAGATAAGGTATTTCATTTGTTAATAGGATACCTTACAGAACATATAATGTTCAATTCACAAGCATTTTATTTTGTGGCTTTTAGAAATGGCAAGAAAAGATGTTCAGAAAGACAAATCCTGTGAACCCAAGTCCCCCCAGAGAGAAGGAAAGTCATGGTCAGGTAACTCTTCATTTAATCTTCCTTTCATTTTATACCCTAGAACAGAAATATTGTGAAAGTGAGGTTAAATTGGCTATTGTATAAAATGTACTTTTTATAGGTGAATTTTTGTCTTGTAACTAGAGGATGAAGTATGTCAAATTTGGAGATGAGGAGCAAGCAAACTTAATCTATGGTAACTTCAGGTTCACAGGTACATATTAATAATAAAACTAGGAAGCATAGATGAAAGTACAATAAATGATTTTAATTTACCATGGTACCACATGATAAAGACTGGATTTTGCTAAGACACAATGAGATCCTTATGTTATTTTGTCTCTGAGAGTTGACGGATCCAAATACATTCAAGATGGATATTTTTGGTGGTGGTATGCTATTGGTAATGACAGGTACTATTGATTAATGCTCTTCTACTTTAAAATTTATAGCATTAGTATACTTTTTTGGGGGACAGGGTCTCACTATGTAGTTCATGGTGGTCTTGAACTCATTATTTAGCCCAGGCTGACCTCGAACTCACAGTGATCCTCCTGGTGCAGTCTCCTGAGTACTGAAATTATAGGTGTGAACCACCACACCTGGTTTAGTTTTTTTTTTTTTTTTTTTTGATACTGAGGATCAAACTTGGGTCCTTGTGCTTGCTCAGCAGGTGGCAAAACCACTGAGCTAAATCCCCAGCCCTTTAGTATATTATTTTAAAACCATTACATGACCCTACAATTGCTTTGTGGGTTTTGTTTTTTTTTTGGTACCGGGGATCGAACTCGGGACCTTGCCCTTGGAAGGCAGGCGCCGGAACCACTGAGCTAAATCCCCAGCCCAACGCTACAATTGCTTGGAATGTATGATCCAAGCATACAAAGGAAATCAGATATAACTCAATAAAAATCACTCCAGCTATTTCTCTTCTTAATAGGTTCATATCTAACCCTATGAGACAATTGAGAATCTATCTTGTTTTTGAAGACTTGTAAAGCAAGGTCTATGCAACAGAGAAAAGAACAGCATTTAGCTTTCAGTTAAGCCATGTATTTAACTACAGCTGTTCCAAATACTACTCATATTTTACTAAAATGCTATTTTATCATTTTCCCTTTCATATCAACCAGTAGTAGAACTAATTAGATCAAGGTTATTCTTATTTGAAATTTTTTTCATTTTGGCCTGGGTTAAATAACAAAGTTTTAGCATGCATGAGGATGTAGGTTTTATCCCTAGCACTACAAAAGGAAATAAAATACCCAAATAACAAACTTCATATGTTTAAAATATTCTGGTGACAATGTATAGCATTGATCAAGCTTTGCTCTATTTTTCTTTTCTTACCTTTATAATATGCGGGGAACCTAGGTCTTCACACATGCTAGAGCTCAACAATTGAGCTATATCCCTGAACTTTTGTATTTTTTTAAATTTTCAGACAGGATCTCACTAAGTTGCCCAGGCTGCCCTCAAACATCCAATCCTCCTGCCTCAGCCTCCTGAGTAGCAATGATTATAAGCATGTACCACTGTGCAGAGCTTGCCTTGTTATTTTTTAAAAATTGCATGGGTAATCATTTTTAAGTTATACCAAATCTGATATAGAAGGCATAAAGGCATGAATGAGTGAATCAATGAGTAAATCAGTCATAAGTAACTGGGACTGACATTTTAGGAAATATGCTTCATGTTGTAACATTAAGCTTCAAGACAAATACATTAGCCCACACTCTCAGGAGGAGTGTTGGCTAATTTATGCAACTAAGAAATCCAGAGTGTAGCTGGCTTCAGGCACAACAGGATTGTGTTAGTTACTTTTCTTGCTGCTGAGACAAAATACCCAACACCCAGAGTTAAAGGGAGAAAGGTTTATTTCAGTTCACAGTTTGTAGAAGTTTCAGACCATAATTGGCTGGCTCCAAGGCAGGGCAGCATGGCAAAAAGGAATTGCAGAGGAGAAACAGTCCATGCCAAGGCAAGCAGAAGGCACCAAGTAGCAACAGCAAGCCTGCCACCTCTCTCCCTTTATATTCCATCTAGGTTATAACCCTATTGATTGATCACCCACACTCATGGTGGGACTTCCATTATCCACACCTAGAACTATGCTAATTCCAATCAGTGGACTAATTTTGTACCACACACCCTTAATTCCAGTATCACATGCCCCAGACCTAGCCAGCTCCAAAAAGCCTGACCTATGCGTGCATGAGGCTTTGAGCAACATCTAGATACAAGCCATAACAAGCCATAACATACCAAGGATCCAAGAGCACCAAGCATACTCTCTTCCTCCAGCTCTGTTCTTTTCTGTCACTTTCAATTTTAGGCAGTTTTCTCCATTTTATGACCAAAAATGATCACAAGAGGATCTCTAAGCTTACATCCTACTAATTCAGCAATCAGAGAATCAAAGAGTAATTCTCCCCTAAGAGTTCACCTAAAAGTTCTGGAGCTAATATTCATTGGCCTATCATAGGTTACATTCCTGTTAAACATAAATTAATGGTTAAACCTGTATCACACATCTATGGAGCAAGGATGAGGTGGCTTAGTACCACCTAACTCCTCTGAACTAACAGTAGAGGAAAGATATTTTCCCAAAGGAGAAAAGACAGATGCTTCCCTCATGAAGGAAGCATATATTGCTGATAGGCAAAAATGGTAGATGTTGGGGCTGGTGGTCTAGCTCAGTGGTAAAGTACATGCTTAACATGTGCAAGGCCCAGAATCCAATCCTTAGCACCAGAACAAAACACATCAAAACAATAGCAAATGTCTGTTACAATAGGTATCATTTGTTTTCTCTAAGATTAGAATTGTTCCTTTTACTGCTTGGTATCTGTTTCCTGCTTCACAGAATTACACTCAATTATCAGAAATATTCAGTCTTATAAAGAAGTAAAAGGTAGGAGTGCCTTCAATGGAATTTCCTTCGATCTGCTCCAGTTTGTGCAACTCCTAGAGACATTTGTTGGTGAAGATGCCCCTTAAGTGCCAGTGAGACCCTCACCTCTTTTTTTAAGAGAGGCTATGTTGAAACAAAAGAAGAGAAAAATGAATGCCTTAGAACAGGTGGGTAATATTTATCAATTAAACAGGTGAGGTCACTAATTAGGTCATTCTCTCAACCTCAGTTGCTCCTAATGTGGCTCTTATTTTAAAAGCGCACAACCAAACTTACTACTGTATTTCAACAAGCACAAACATTAAATATCTTGTTTTATTGGCAAATATTGAAAGGTCACACTCCAGAGAACTCATTTCCCTAATGATAACATGATTGTTCCTGGCAGGAGGTGGTTTATCATACAGCTTTGTTTTCCCTCTAAAATTTAAGTAGATATGTGTATGTGCAAAGATGCATGTGTCTGATGTGTGAGTGTATTTACACATGCAAATTCACAGGGATATGATTATGGCTTGATTATGTATTTTTATTTACAGGCACCTAGGCAGCACATATTTCCCTAAGAATATAATACTTTCTTGGGTGATAGATAAATACATACACATTAACTTATACAAACAACTAATCCTCTCACATATGAAATGAGAATTAGTTTCACCAAGCTTATTCTGTAATCACGTCAATCTTATGAGTCTTCTCAGGCTAATATTCTAGGGTTGATATCCTTTTCGCCTCCTCAACTGCAGGTTCACCCACTTAGCCAAAAGGTACATATTTATTTTTTATTTTCTTTTTGAATCTAAATTTATCCAGATATTAATTCAGTTGCAATCTAATTAATAGAATTCATCTAATGAAAAAAATCTAAAAGGTAAATAAAATCTATGTCAAGTTCAGTCAATGCTAAATATTAAAAAGAAATTTTTTAGCATAACCACTTTTCATTGTTTGAACACTGTCATTCATTCCCCTTTACTACAAAACACATCCCCTAAAAAACCAGGGAGAGCATCTTATGTGTTTATCACATTTTTTATTAATGAGGGAGGGATTAAAAAAGAATTCTTAAGAAGGTTAGTACCCAGGCCCCCAGGCTGGGGATTTAGCTCAGTGGCACTGTGCCTGCCTCACAAGCACAAGGTCCTGAGCTCAATCCCTGGTACCAAAAAAAAAAAAGATTAGTACCCTTCCCAATCTAGTGTGTTTTAGTCCAGTGCAGACAATTCCTGGTTTGGTTTGGTTTTTGGTTTTGGTTTTGGTCTAGAAGTGAAACAAGGAAATAACATTTATAAGGGGTTAAAATTTTTCATTAAAATCATGGTTAAGCCCAAAGTAAAGTAGTTTTTATAAAATATACCAGGCTTTTAAAAAGTAAACACAGGCTGCCAGCTAGCATAATGAACATCATGACTCCTGTGCCTTGTTATCCTGTTTCTATCCTAGGTTAGACAAAATGCTTTCCAAATACGACAGGAACTTCTCTTAAAAGCCCTCTTACAGAAGTGGGACAGTGATGGCTCAGGCTTCCTGGATCTGGAGGAAGTTGATAAACTCTTATACACATACAAGCATGGCATGGAAAAAGAATCTATGAAGAAAGGTAAAATATAAGAATGTTCCTATTTAAGTTGTGGTAGCTACTTGGCTTCAAGTTTCCCACTACTCTGATGACACAAACATAGTTAAAAAACAAACATTGATTATACTAAAACTATCAGATATCACTTTATACTAGTGGTACCACTTCATGCTAAAAGTATGGCTATAGTTTTTAAATTGGAAAATAGCCAGGTGTGGTGGTGCATGCCTGTAATTCCCAGCACTTGGGAGGCTGAGGCAGGAGAATTGCTGCAAGTTCAAGACCAGCCTGGGCTACATAGTGAGTTCAAGACCAGCCTGAGGCAGACAGGCAGGTCTCTGCACGCCCTACCAAGGTCCTGAGTCATGAGGAAGACGCCGAATCACCCTACTGCAGACAGGCAGGTCTGCCCACACCCTACCGAGGTCCCCAGTCCCGCGGAACACGCCGAATCAGCCCGCTGCAGACAGGCAGGTCTGTGCACGCCCTACCGA